TGTTGAATATTGAAATTTTGATGTGGTAGCAAAGAATGTCCAGAATTACCTAAAAAGGCTATTAAAATATTATTTTCCTTTCCAACTATGTATCTGTATACAACCTTTTTTTCATATACCTCAACCAGAGCAACAAATAATGAGATTTAATATAGTAATACAGATGGGTAATTATGCAAAAGTATAAAGTATAAAGGTATGCAAAAGAATAAAATAATGCCACAAAATAATATCACACTGGTTATAAAGTTTTTGTTTTTCAAAATATACTTATTGTTTATTAAAATGTTGTAGAATTTTTATTGTTATTAATTTCTTAATTGATTAAATAACATTTACATTTTTCTCACTTTTCTTTCTTTCTTTCTTTYTTTTTTTTTTTGGTAGTGGGGATTGAACCCAAGAGCACTTTATCACTGAGCTATAGCCCAGCCCTTTTAATTTTTTGTTTTGAGACAGGGTCCCCACTAAATTGCTTAGGGCCTCTCAAAGTTGCTGAGGCTGGTCTAGGACTTGCAATCCTCCTGCCTCAGCCTTCCAAGTCACTGGAATTATAGGTGTATGCCACTGAACCTAGTTGTCACTTATAATTTCCAATATGGTCAATGTCTATAGGTATAATCCAAATAAACTAAAATCTTTTGGATTCTCAATAGTGTTTTAGAGTATAATAAGAGTTTTGAGATTGCTGTTCTAGCCTAGGCAATAAGGCAGATAAAATAAATTAGCAATATAAAATAAAATTGGTTACTCTTTTAAAGGAAACTTTTAGAACTAATAGGAAGGTAATAAATTAGTTGGGTATGAAATTTTAAAAATGTTTTCCATACTCTAGTGATAGAGAATAAAGAGGTAAGGATCCACTCACAAAAGCAACAAAAACATACAAAATCCTTAAATGATTTTTAAAAGCATACCTAATTAACAAAAATAAAAACATTAAGAATTTCTAGGTTTAGACAGTTTTAGATAATGAAGGGCAATGCCATAATTCTGGATTTCTAAATATAAAAACCTTGGGAGTGGCTGYGCCTGATGATACATGCCTGTAATCTCAGTACTGGGGAGGCTGAGGCAGGAGGATTGCAAGTTCAAAACCATCCTTGCTAAACAACTCAGTGAGACACTGTCTCTCAATAAAATAAAAAATAGGGTTGAGGATGTGGCTCAATGGTGGAGTGCCTCTGAGTTCATTCCCTGGGAAACCTGCCCTGTCCCCCAAGAGGGAAAAAAAAAAAAAAAACCTCTAGGAGTGAGACCAAAGCATTAGCAATTTTTAAAAAATACTTTTTAGTTGTCAATGGATCTGTTATTTTATTTATTTATATGCAGTGCTAAGGATCAAACCCAGGGCCTCACACATACCAGACAAGCACTCTACTACTAAGCCACAACTCTAGCCCCAACAGTAGCATTTTTTAAAGCTGTCCAAGTGATTTAAGTGTGCAGCTAAGGTTGAGAACAAGTGGTTTTGTTTTTATATTCACACAACATACCTAAATAAGTTTCAAATAGAATTAAGAAGAAAATTTAAAAAGAAAATAAAAATGAATATTTAACCTTCACTTGGAAAAGAATTTTCTAAATTTTAAAGCAATGGTAAAATATCATGAAATGAGTGTCACTTTACAAAAATTTTTAAATGTGTATATAATTCAAAGCATAATAGGTAAAAAATTTAAAAACAACAAACTAGTGAAAAATACTTGTAACAAATATATGACATACATATTTTATTTTTTATTTATATGTGACAGCAAAATGCATTACATATGTGTAATAATTCTTATTACACATATAGAGCACAATTTTTCATATTTCTGGTTGTATACATAGTATATTTATACCAATTCATGTCTTCATACCTGTACTTTAGATAATAATGATCATCATAATCCACCATCATAAATAACCCCATGCCCCTTCCCTTCCCCTCCCACCCCTCTGCCCTATCTAGGTTCATCTATTTCTCCCATGCTCCCTCTCCCTATCCCACTATGAATCATCCTCCTTATATCAAAGAAAACATTTGGCATTTGGTTTTTTGGGATTGGCTAACTTCACTTAGCATTATCTTCTCTAACTCCATCCATTTATCTACAAATGCCATATTTTTATTCTCTTTTATTGCTGAGTAATATTCCATTGTGTATATAAGCCACATTTTTTTTTTTATCCATCTGTTGAAGGGCATCTAGGTTGGTTCCACAGTTTAACTATTGCGAATTGTGCTACTATAAACATTGATGTGGCTCTGTCCCTGTAGTATGCTGTTTTTAAGTCCTTTGGGTACAGATGGAGGAGAGGGATAGCTGGGTCAAATGGTGGTTCCATTCCCAATTTTCCAAGAAATCTTCATACTGCTTTCCAAATTGGCTGCACCAATTTGCAGTCCCACCAGCAGTGTATGAGTGTGCCTTCCCCCCCACCACCACATCTTTAATGTTTTAAACAAACTTCTACAAACCAGTAAAAAAAGCATTAAACATGATGAAGATATGAATAAAAGATATAATTCATAAAATAAATGAAAAAGAACAAGGACTTGAAAACAGTCCCTCTTCATTAGTCAAGAAGTACAAATATAAGATGCCACTTACTTTTGCCCGTCATATTAATAATGATTTTTTTTTCAAGTGATAATATACTCAGTGAATGCTATGATAGAATTTGGTATGTTCCTGGGAAGTGATTTGGCAATCTTTATCAGAAGTCTGAAAAGTTTCATACTATTTGACCAAGCAATTCCAGGCCTAAGATGTATTCTAGAGAAGTAAACAGAAATATATTGATATTTTCTTATGTCGTTAAAGGTATTTTGAAGCAGGACTTTTCACCAATAACCAGCAATATCAGTAGGGGATGTATTCAGAGGTGGTTAAAAAGTTTTGAAACTAGAGAGAGGTGATATTTGCACAGCTTGGTGATTGCACTAAATGACACAGAATTTCTCACTTTAAAATGGTTAATTGTTCTCAGCAGCAGACTGAAGTTAACCTAAAACTACTGCCTGACCTGGATTTGCCAGGGCCTGGATTTACCTTTGCTCAAGGTAGCACAGGCAGTTTGGCCTTTGGCGGGAGCTGGAGGCCAGGTCTCCCTGCACACTTACCCCGACAGTCTGTCAAGCAAGGCTTCACAAAGGAGCTGGGGTTGGTTTCTGTGTTTTATAATCCGATAGCTTTCGGTGAGCCAAGGCTTGTGGGCTGGCACTGCAGGCCAAAGAAAAATCAGCGAAGTGTGAACCGGGTGGCTGTAGAGGTAGGGCAGGTAGCGGGGTCAGTCCATGATCCCACAAAAGATACCTACACCCTCGGTGACTGGGGAGTCCCAGGCCCYGGGGAAACGCGATTCCCCAAGGGCAAGAGGACCTGTGCATAAACCCATAAGGGCGACCAGTGCCCCGAGCCGGGCACTGTAGGACCGTCCCGTCCCCGACCCAACGTGGGTCTCTGGGGTTGCGGCAGAAGAATCCTCCCTGCTTGTGAGCACTTCCTAGGGCTGGAAGTGCGGGACATCCAGCTCGCGGCCCTCGCCACGCTTGCAGCTGCTGCGGGGTGGGTGGCGCATCGGCCCCACCCGAATCCCCGCCGGCAGGGCCGCCAGGGCCCAGGGGATTCGGCACAGCCTCGACAGCCTTTTTTGTTCTGTTCAGGACGAATCGATTCCGACAAAAAGTTAGATGATTGAGAGGATGGATGTCTTCGCATCAGTAAAGCATGCATTTTGCTGGGACCCCGAAAAACGAAGGAAACTGTGGAACTAGAGAAGCAAATATGATGCATCGGCTTTACGCAGTGGATTTGCGCGTCGCGACGTGGAGCCCGTGCGCCCACAAGATGGAGAAACGCTGCCTAGAAACTCAACCGTGTGAGGGCTGTCTACGCGTTTGCGATCTGTAGGCAGTGTCACAGGGCGCAACATTTTGTAAAAAGCAGGGAAACGTCAGTGAAGCACATTTCCTAGGTTTCTTTCGCCCTGGGTTAGGAACTGGAGTTTGGGGCAGCGTTCTTACCCATCTCCGGCTCTGTGGAACCCGGAGAAACTCCAGTCCCGGCGGGTTGCTTTGACTGAAAATCAGGGTGTGGAACAGGCTCATTGAAAGAATATAGCCTCGGTAGCTATTAGAGGGGAACCTGCAGGCCTCCTGAGCAGCGGGGCCTTCGATAGCTCAGTTGGTAGAGCGGAGGACTGTAGTGGAAATCCTGTGGCAATCCTTAGGTCGCTGGTTCGATTCCGGCTCGAAGGACTTCGTCTGACTTTTTTTTAACCCAATTTAGTTCAATTACCTATGGCTTCCTTAGAGGTCGGCAATGACTTTGTGTTGGTACTTCGGATATCGGGTAAGACCGGCAGTGTTGGTGTACAGTATGGCTCGGTTAAGCGTCACATACGAAGAAATATCGACGTGTGCCTCAAAGTAGAACTTTATTCTTTATGTGTAATTATTATATGCCTTATTTTCAAAAGTTTGCACTCGCTCCCATTGTTAAAYAAATATTCCTAACTGCAGTTGATCTATCCATTGGTCGGTGGACAGCTCAAAATAACCTGTAAGGCAAAAAGAAAGCAAGCACTAGCAGCTGGGGGATTAGCTCAAATGGTAGAGCGCTCGCTTAGCATGCGAGAGGTAGCGGGATCGATGCCCGCATCCTCCACTAGGAGTTTTTTCTTCCTGCTCTTTACACTGGCTGGCGGGGAGATCGGCAGAACCTGGGTGGGTGTTTTAATATACAGTGTAATGAGGGGCACGCTAAGCGGTGATCGGCTCCATATGGTTCCCTTTTATTCGCAGTGAGTCTTTTCCCGACTCCTGCTCGGTCACTTTTATCTTTCCCGCGTCTGGGAGACAGGCCGTTAACCGCCTACAGAGACTTGGCTGGAATCCTGGCCGCGCCTGTCCGCCAGAGCCCCCAAACGGCACTGCTGCAGGTACCCGCTAACGTGCGCGGAACCCTGCTTGCTGACCAATGGCAGTGCGCTTTACTGGGCGGGTAGCCAGCTGCAGCCGCGGCCAATAGGCGAGAGACTTCTTGTTTCCTGGCAGAGCGGGGTCCCGGCACCACGGCACTCGGGTTTTGTTTGGGTCCTGGGTGGAGGACCCGGGTGCCGGGGCCCGAGGTGCCGCCTCGCTAGCGGGAGAGGGAGCGGGAGCACCGGCCCGGAGAGAGGTGAGGGGCTCTGCGTGCATTGCGGCCCCGCCCCCTTCTCGCAGCCCCTCCAGCCCGAGCCCCTCTCGAAGGCCACCCCGCCCCCGGCCTGGCCGGGACAGGCGACCCCGCCCCTGCCTGCCCAGCTGCCGGTGGCCGTCCTCAGCCTCCTGCCCTCTGTAGCCTCACTTCTGACCCCTAGGCCGTACCTTCCCACCCCCTCCAGTGTGTCTGTCTCAACCCTTCCAGTTTCTCCAAATAGGGCAAGCCCGACAGTGTGAGGGACCTCCCAAGTTCGGGGGTGGCGAAGCCACCCCTTGCCCCCAGGTGGGAGTCTACCAGCCCAGCTTTTTTAGCAGTGTTTAGGACACCCGTTACTGACCCACAACTACCAGGGTAGCTTTTGCAGGGGTTCCAGTGTCTACAGGGCAAGAAATGGAAACAGACCCGTGCCTTAACTGGAGCTGAGCTGAGGGCTCTAGGTGAGCAGGTGGCATCTGCCCAGTTTCCTTTGGCTTGGCACAGACCACACTTTTATAGTTTTCGTCCATAATAGGCGTGGAGTAGGAGCAAAAAAAAAAAAAAAAAGAAAGAAAGAAAGAAAAGAAAAAAGGGACGAATCAGCCCTTCAGGGCCCAGGAAAGCAACAGCAGAATTCTGGTCGATACTTGTGAGGACACAGGAGCAAAGGGAGGGAGCGAGTCATTCAAACATAAGAGTTTTGGTTCTCCTGGAATAGGTCCAGAATGGCCATCTCTAAAGATGGCCATGTGCTGTGGGGAAGTGGGTAATGGCTAGTTTTGGGAAATCTGATTTCTCAATCTCTACTCTTTGGACTGCAAAAAAGCTTTGCTCTTGTCTCAACACTTTAGCCATTGYGTATTTATTTGATTTGAAAACAGGGCATTATAGCAAAATGGGATCCCTTTAAGTCAGTCATAACCCTTAGCGTGGGGTAGAGTATTGTTTTTCTCTTGGTCTTGCTGGAAGGTCACGTCCATATTTTTTAATGAGCGAGCATTTTGCTTCACAGGACACTCCCTAAGAACAGCTCTCACTTATCCAGAGATACCCAAAAAATCTTGTTTAATTTTTGTTCTCCCTTCCTACCCCAACCCTCTTTTCCCCAGCTCTCAGGGCCAGAGTGGGGCAAGAGGATGCTTTCCCAGCCCCACCATGGAGCTGCGCTGTGGGGGATTGCTGTTCAGTTCTCGCTTTGATTCAGGGAACCTAGCCCATGTGGAAAAGGTGGAATCTGTGTCTAGTGATGCAGAAGGAGTAGGAGTAGGAGGAGGGGCATCGGCCCCCACTGTTAGCATTGCTTCTTCCCCTGACTACGAGTTCAACGTGTGGACCCGACCAGACTGTGCTGAAACCGAATTTGAGAACGGGAACAGGTATGAGGAAAGAATCGGAGGGTGGAAGGAGAAAAGGCATGTTCAGGTACCCAAATCCATGCTTCAGTTGGAGGCCATTTGACTTACTTGTTCATACCCTTCCTCTTCCAGCCCCTCCTCACCTCTTCCCCTCCTTGCTAAATAGCCATTTCCCAGTTTGGTGTGCTCCAGGGCTCCCACCATGTCCTGTCTCCAACCTCCCAAATATAATGACCTATCTCTCCTCTGGCCCTCAGGTCATGGTTTTACTTCAGTGTCCGGGGAGGAACTCCAGGGAAACTCATCAAGATCAACATTATGAACATGAACAAGCAAAGCAAACTTTATTCCCAGGGTATGGCCCCCTTTGTGCGCACACTGCCCTACCGGCCACGCTGGGAACGCATTCGAGAACGGCCCACCTTTGAAGTAAGTTATCCATGAAGAAGAAAGAGGACTTGGGTACTAGTAGAGGAAAGTAAACAATAAATTCRCTCTTGGTAGAGAGTAGTAGGCAGGTGGGACCCCAGGTTACTGTGTCAGCTTTCCTTACACTGCTAAGGTGAGCCCCTGCCTTTRGAAGCCCCACGGAGCTGGTTGTCTTAATGGAAAGTATCAGAGGGAGGGAAGGAAGTTGGTAGAGGTGAAAAGGGTGTAAAGTCAGTTCCTAGTGACCCCCAACAGGAGCTCAGTTCTGACACAAATGGCATGTTGCTCCTCCCTCTTCTTTCTCTGCTCCTCAGATGACAGAGACGCAGTTTGTGTTATCCTTTGTTCACCGTTTTGTGGAGGGCCGTGGGGCCACCACCTTCTTCGCCTTCTGCTACCCCTTCTCCTACAGTGACTGCCAGGATTTGCTAAACCAACTAGACCAGCGCTTTCTGGAGAACCACCCTACCCATAACAGGTGCCAACCCCATTCTTATTCCTTCTATACCATCCTGTATCTGCACCTCTGCTATTTCTGGAATTTACCCTAAAATCTCTGCACCAAAACTTCATCAGTCTTTTCTCTGTACAGAATGTGGGACTTTGGACACCTTTGAAAAATGTGTTTCCTTGTGATCTTGACTTCAGTATATCCTATGTAGTCCACTCCTTCCTGCCAGTTCAAGCCTCTTACTATCCTAGTGCTCAGTTATCAATTATCTGTGATTTAACCAGCACTGCCATTGCTCATCGGTTCCCCCAGAGGGCAACTGTCTCTGTCTACACAAAGTATTCCATTTTAAGGAGACATTAACTGGGGAAAAAAAACAATAAACTCACTCTGTCCTGTAGTCTGCATCCTAGCAATGCTAAACCCACCCAGATCCTAGTGTGAAGGACTATGAGGCCAAGAGGTTAGGATGAAGGACCAGATTTTACAAATCTGGGCTGGTGATGAGGCCCACCTCTTGCTAGGTCTTTTGGAACTTCTGGAGTAATTATTTTTATTCCTGCAGCCCCCTGGATACCATCTATTACCACCGGGAGCTCCTTTGCTATTCTCTGGATGGACTTCGTGTAGATCTATTAACAATCACTTCCTGCCATGGGCTTCGAGAAGATCGAGAGCCCCGCCTAGAGCAGCTGTTTCCTGATACCAGCACCCCCCGACCATTCCGTTTTACAGGCAAGAGGGTGAGTGGGGAGAGCATAAAGGCAGTTCTTTGCCCTTTTTGTAGCTCCAGACACTGTGACTAGCTTAAAGCTGTTTTCTCTAGGCATCCTGGACCTAGCTCAGCCTATAGACTAAGGCAAGGGTGACAGCTGCTGCTTCACTTGCAGACCCAGGCAGCTGGCAGTCCAGTGGCTTTTTCTGCCTCATCCAGTCCTTCCTGATGTGTGTCATTGGAACCATAGTGTAACTGTCTGCTCTCCTCTCCACCTCAGATCTTCTTCTTAAGCAGCAGAGTACACCCTGGGGAGACTCCATCTAGCTTTGTCTTCAATGGCTTTCTGGACTTCATCCTTCGACCCGATGACCCCCGGGCCCAAACCCTACGCCGCCTTTTTGTATTTAAGCTGATTCCCATGTTGAATCCTGATGGTGTGGTCCGGGGCCACTACCGGTAAGTAGTCTCCCCATCCTTTCTGGATTGCTCCCAGTCCTCCTATATGCCATTTTTTCCTCAGTGAAAGATTGCTACCTTCTAGCTTCTCCTGTATTCCCAATCCTCTTGCGCCTTAACAAGGGCAGGCCCATCTGATGTTCCAGAGACCTGAGAGGGGAATTTCATCTAGTGGCATTCCTAGGAAGGAGCAAAACTAGGATAGGTGCAGGCCTATATGGGTGGAGGGAGCTATCCTTAGTTTTCTCTGGTATCTTAGGTTGACATCAGGTCAGTGAGGGGTCCTGTCTGTAATTCTTTCCTAGCACAATTTCAGCCTCTCTTTGATAAGTCAATCTCTTAGTCTCCTTGTCATCCACTGGCTCAGGCCTCTAGACCTTGCTTCAGTCCCTGTTTTCCTACAGCACTGATTCACGGGGAGTGAATCTGAACCGTCAGTACCTGAAGCCTGATGCTGTCCTGCACCCGGCCATCTTTGGGGCTAAAGCTGTGCTTCTTTACCACCATGTGCACTCTCGTCTGAACTCCCAGAGTCCCTCTGAACACGAGCCCAGTCCCCGCCTCCCTTGTGATGCTCCTCTTTCTGATCTTGAGAAAGCCAACAATCTCCACAATGAAAGTCGCCTTGGACAGTTATCTGACAGTGATAACCCTGAGACCTGGACCCAGGCAGAGCCAGTGGAACAGAAGGCGAACAGTGAGTGGATTATGCCAGAACAGTCTACTGAACTTGAGGCACCAGCCCCTGACACAATTCCCCCCAAAGAGAGTGGTGTTGCTTACTATGTGGACCTGCACGGACATGCTTCCAAAAGGGGCTGCTTCATGTACGGAAACAGCTTTAGTGATGAGAGCACCCAGGTAGGAGTCCTAAGGATGTCATGTGAATGTGGGAATCGTTGTAGTTATAAAATAAAGGCTAGACCACAGAGAGGGAACATAGCCTGACAGGAAGTACTGTACAGACTGCCTCTGTATGAACTTCAAAGAGCCAAGAAGAATCAGCATCAGGGCCTTGTATCATTAAATCCCATTAAATCATGCCTTTGAGTGAGGTTCATGCTGTCAGCATCATAGTCTTAAGAGTTTGGGGAACCAAGAGAAAAGAAAATTTTGCATTTTATTGGAGAAAAGAAACTTAGAACTTAAAATGTGATAGAATTATATCTGCTTAACACCTAGAAATAATGTCAAACATTGAAAATTTTAAAAATGTTAATTGCTACTGACGGTTTTAGGGTTATAGTGGTATCTGCTGTGTATGAGTCACATGGCCATATGCTTGCCATCTCTCCTTTCCCCCTTGTCACTTCTTTCTGTCTCTCTTTCTAAGAACATTTTTCTCCCCTCAACAGGTGGAAAACATGCTATATCCAAAGCTCATCTCCTTGAATTCAGCCCACTTTGACTTCCAGGGCTGCAATTTCTCAGAGAAAAATATGTATGCTCGAGACCGTAGAGATGGCCAATCCAAAGAGGGAAGCGGTCGTGTTGCAATCTACAAAGCCTCAGGGATAATCCACAGGTTGGGTGAAAACTGGTATTTAGTTGAGGAGATAGCTTCCCTAAAGAAAATACCCTGGGTCTGTGGGTGAAGCTCAGTGGTAGAGCATTTGCCTAGCATGCCTAGTGCCCTGGGTTCAGTCCCAGTACAGCAAAATGAAGAAAATAATAGGCAGCTTAGGGCCTGAGGGGACCAGGACTATCCAAGTCTTTTCAAAAGAGAGCCTTACAATCAGCAGGATTATTTTAGTCTAGGACTCTCCTTTTCTGGGATTTATTGGGTACATAGTATGGTGCCAAGGTAAACAGCTAGTTGCTAAGGGTTGTTAGCACCTTCCACTTGTGTTCACTTTTTTCCAAGTAATTATCTTCTTAGACCACAGGGCTGGCCCCTGTGGTTGTCATGATATCCATTCAGGCAGGACACTGATAAAGGTCTTTGTGTCTTAGCTACACACTTGAATGCAACTACAACACTGGACGCTCAGTAAACAGCATCCCTGCTGCCTGCCACGACAATGGGCGTGCCAGCCCTCCTCCCCCGCCAGCTTTCCCTTCCAGATACACTGTGGAACTATTTGAGCAGGTATGAATCCTTGGCATAAGTGGGAAAGGGGAACCTCAAACCTGGAAAGACCTTCCCTCTTGTTACCTGCCTCTAAGGTCCTCTACAGAGATGTTCATTGATGTAATCATCTCACCACTGTGTTAATAGGAGCATGGCTCCTATAGACTATAAGGGTATTGAGAGAATGAACAGAGAATCCTCTAGCACATCTGAGTCAGATTCTTTACCTCTGAGTTGGTCTTTCTCATTCTGTTGGAAGGTTTATTTACTCCTGGGCTCAAAAGTATCCCCACTATTGTGATCTTGGTGACTACTTATTCTAGGGAGTCCAAAGGGAGTAGAAAGAGCTTCAGGTTAGAAAAGAAATTCTAACACCTTCTGTTAGAATTCCTTTATGTGAGCCAGAAAGCACATCTGCCCCTGCCATAATAAATGAGGTCCCAGCAGGTGTGGTTGCATACACATGTAATCCCAGCAATTTGGGAGGCTGGGGTGGGACGATCTCAAGTTCCAGGCCAGTCTCAGCAATTTATAAATTAAGGCCCTGTCTCAAAATTTTAAAAAATAAAGGACTGGGGATATAGCTCAGTGGTAAAGTACCCTGGGTTCAATCCCAAGTACCATAATTAATTAATTTATTAATTATGGAATTAGATTTGGTAGCACATGCCCATAATCATAGTGACTGAGGCTGAGGCAGGAGGATGGCAAGTTTGAGGTCAGTCTCAGCAAATGAGTGAGACCCTGTCTCAAAATAAAAAATAAAAAGGACTGGGGATGTAGCTTAGTGAACCTGGGTTGAATCCCTAATATCTCCCTTTATTAATAAAATGGATGAGTGTCCTAAAATAGTCAATGGTTAGGGAACATCTAGGCACAAATTTAGGGTACCCAGTGAGCAGATTTTAGGTCTGGCCTCTTCTTCCCTTCCTTTGTGCTATGTAACCCACCCCACATAGCAGCATGAATTAGGGGTCCAAGATGCTAAGCCAAACTGGAATCCCCCACAGGTGGGACGAGCTATGGCCATTGCAGCTCTGGAYATGGCAGAATGTAATCCATGGCCACGAATTGTGCTGTCAGAGCACAGCAGCCTCACTAATCTACGGGCCTGGATGCTAAAGCATGTACGAAACACCCGAGGCCTCAGCAGCACTGTGAACATGGGCATCAGCAAGAAGAGAGGCTCTCGAACTCCACCCAAAAGTAACAAGTAAGACCAGCAGCATGGCAGGGAGAGGGCAGGAGAGTGGGCAAGGCTTTAGACCTAGGAGTTCCATGGGATTTGTATTCCTTCCCTCTTTCTAAAAGTACCACATGCTGAGAATTTTCTGGGTAAATTAGAATTAGCAAGATCATTTTTTTTGAGATGGGATCCACTTCCCTTTCACCAGGAGCTACATACTTCTAAGAGACCTGAAAATCAGGCCAAAGGACTCCCTATTATAGAACTTTGCACTAAACTTTCAAAGGTGGTGAATGATTGATTGAAGGAAGTGGAAGGGCCAGTGCCAGGGCTCTAAGGGGGGAATCCATTGGGAGACAAAGCTGCTCAGGACAGCCCTGCTATTAGCTGGTATGCCCCAGGTTAAATACCTCATCTATGGAGATGAATTCCTCCCTTCTTCCTTTAAATGAGTTCTTTTACCCCAAGGTGAAAGTTTTACTGAACATCAGACCCTGGGGAAAGCCCTGAGAAAGCCTGGCCCAGAGTTGATTGGCCTCTGCTTCTTTGCAGTGTATTGCCCATTTCCTGCTCTGAAAACACCTTGAGCCGGGCACGAAGTTTTAGCACTGGCACAAGTGCTGGTGGTAGCAGCAGCAGCCAACAGAATTCTCCACAGATGAAGAACTCCCCCAGCTTTCCTTTTCATGGCAGTCGGCCTGCAGGGCTTCCAGGCCTGGGCTCTAGCACCCAAAAGGTCAATCACCGGGTGCTGGGTCCTGTCAGAGGTAAGCCAGTCTGGGAGCCCCTGCAGCAGGTGTTCGGTTGTTTGGGACATTGCTGGGGAAAATGAGAGCTTGAAGACATACACTTGGCCCAGGACCAAGGGGTGAATCAATAAAATTAGTCTGTAGCAGAATCTACAACCTCTCCTGCGATCTTCGTGTTCCCTGCGGCTTGACTCCAGAGGATGTTACATGTGGCCACGGGGAAACCTGGGGATCTGGGCTTCAGCATGTTAGGAGCTGGGGAAGTTTCCAAGGACAAAACACTAGTTGAAGCAGTGCCAAACACAGACATTGAGGCTCCACATCAAAGACAATATCATTGTATTTTCTTGGGAGCAGTACGGAAGAATGTCCTTAGAATCCAAATTGCAGCACTATAAAGATGGAGGATCCTGTCGTGGTCTTTATGGGCTGAAATTGTCCTGGCTTCAGAGCTTATACAGAAAGTGATATAAGGATTCCAACTCTTTCAAAGAAAAATGGAACAAACTACAGAAGCTTCTGTTCTAGGCTCACAAATCAAGTATCTAGCCCTTTCTATCTGTGGTCACAATGCTCAACTGCATCATTACCACTAGGTTTTGCATGAAAGATTCTTTTTTTTCTGTGTATTTTTCCACAGAAAATTACACAGAGAAAAAAAGAAGGTAACTGGAAGTAAGCTGGATTGTGAAGGGGGAGAGATTGGTAATAGGGCAACTTCCCCAAATAACGCTATATATCATGAGTATTGTATGTGCCATCAGGGTTACAGAAGTTGGCTAAATATGGAGGCCTGTAAGCTGGAATGAAGTGCTTTGGTGATCTTCTACCTACACCCATCCTTATTTAGCATATCCTTGCTCTCAGTTTGCAACATAGCTTTTGAACAGATGTGATATGCACTGGGTCAGTGGCTGTAAATCTGACTGCAGAGAAGCCAGAGGGAGCAATGGCCTTTACCAGTTTTGACCATTATAGTATTCTATTCTTGAGCCAGTTGTGTTGACACACTTTTATAATCCTAGCCACTTGGGAGGCTGAGGCAGGAGAATTGCAAGTTCGAGTTCGGCCTCAGCAACTTGGTGAAGCCCTAAGGAACTTAGCAAGGCCGTCTCCAAGTTTAAAAAGGGGGGTGGGGGGTAGGGATATGGTTCAGTGGTAAAATGTCCCTGAGTTTGATCCCCAGTGGCCCCCCAAAAACAAATTCTGATATTCAGTCTCATCCAGTTTATATTCCCAACCCTGTTCTTTGAGATTCTGTCTTTATTGGTACAGACTACTTTGCATACTGTATTTGAAAGAGTATTAAACTAATATTGATATCTTATGTTTAAACTGTATTTAATAGAAAACAAGAGAGTTTCATATAATTTCATGCAGTTCTCATGAGGACCTGTGGGATGGGTGATGTTTCCATTTTTCTGATAAGGAAACTTAGGCTGTTGAAGAGTATCCAAGATTGCAGGGCTATTAAGTGGCAGAGTTATTCCGGCTGATACATTTGCATGCTCCATTGTAACTAATTTCCCATGTTAAATCTGGATGAAATTTTTCTTCGGTTTTCTTTTCCTTTCTTTTTTGGTCAGCCTTCCCTAGCTCATAACTCAGGGTTCCTGGGATTACTTCATCAGCATCATAAATTATCCTCTGACCACAAAGAGAAAAGGCCTTTTTTAGCTTGTCACTGGAGGATTCTAGGCAATGTTTAGTCAGTATTCTATTGACATCCTCCAAGTTCCCCTCCCAATGCAAAAACACTTTTGAGCTCCATGAGGTGAGGGATGTGTATTCTATTTCTCTGTTACTTCACCTGATAACTAATGGAAAATATGCAGCATCAGTACTAAATAATTCCTAGCTGATTGACTTGGAACTTAATAGAGCAAACAGGACAGTAAATACAACATACAAGCATACTCACATCATAAACATCCAGGACATTTAGAACTACTGTGGTAGATTAACACGAGTAATTAACCAAAGAATGTTCAGTTAAGAAAGAAATAGTTTTGAAGAACAAGTAGTAGATGGTTTGATAAAAACATTCCAGAAATGAGAAATGACAGTCAGGACCAGGAACAGAACTCCTGGGTAGAGAGGAACTATGAAACTTTCAAGGATACAAGCTAAAGGAAGAAGTAAGGGTGACATTTAAGACATTGTTTTGGTAGTGGTGGGGTGATAAGTGATCTACTTCAGATTTGCTTGGATGCCTTAGGAGATATATATATGCATGCCCTGCAGGCAGAAAAGGACTGAAGAAAAGGTGAGCCAAAGGGGTTGAAGGTCTAGGAGTGATCCACATATAGGTGCCAGGTAAAAATCAAGGGAGAAGGCATGTTTCCCCAGGGAATGAGCTTAGAAGTAGAAAGAGTACCAGTACAGAGACACCCCAGGGATTTGCACAAATATTTCTAAGAATTAGGAAACTATACAATCAAGGAATCAAGATAAGTTACTAATAATACCAAACAGTGATACTGTAAGGAGTTGAAAGGTGAGATCCCAGGAATTTTGACTCTGTTCCCCTGGACATTTGCTGGTACTGTGATTTTTGCTGCTTTATCTTTTAAGCATGCAAGATGGAAGACTGACCCTAGTTTGGGATAGGGGCCACATTCTGATGTGCCATTTGGACATGGTATCTTCAACCAACTCTTGGGAAAATTTCTTTGTCCTGTGTTATCTGTCCTGTTGCTTTGTGACACTTCTGCTCCATACATCTGGTATTTTGGCCTATGCCACATCTAGCTATATTTTGTTTTCCCATCTAGAAAGATCATAACCCCCATATCTTAGAAATCTTAACTATAAATGAGCTACACTTTCAACCCCAAATTAGAATTGATTTGGAAAAGGATTTTTTTTGACATGTGAATTTATAAGAAAATTTCCACTAATAGATAAAATTATGTCACTCAGCCAGATGCAGTGGCACTGCCTATAATCCCAGCTTCTTGGAGGTTGGGGCAGGAGGATTACAAAGTCCAGGATAGCCTGGGAAACTTAGCAAGACACTGTCTCAAAATAAAAGGGCTTTGGTATGTAGTTAAATGGTAGAACACCTCCCTAGTATGCATGAGGTTCTGGGTTCAATTTCCAGTACCTCAAGAAAAATATATTCAACTATACATTTAATTCACTATCCTTATTGGCTAAAACAAGTACAAGATTGGGCTATCCAGTGAATCTCAGAAAAAATTGAGGCAGCTCAACCAGGAGCTTAAGGCAGAGATTCAGGGCACTAGTTTGACAGGTCCTGTCTGGAGGCTGGGAGATAATATTTTAGAAGGCCAACTAGTAGCCAACTTGGGGCAAACAGGAAGGGCCCTGGAACAGAAGGTTGTAAGTTCAGTAAACATTAGCTACGAGCATCCTCTGACCTTTGTGCCAGAATCTTCTCTACTTAGTTCTCCCYAGCTGCAAAACATGTTCTGAAGTACCACCTTCTCAGATTGCTGCTGATGTAGGGAAAGTAGTTGTCACTGGAGAATAGYTAATGCAGTGATGAATTGAGAGAAATCAAAAGCCTTCAAGATAACTTGTAAAAGCAGATACAGAGCTAAAGAAGGGCCTGCTGGGGCTGGGGTGGGTGAAGTAAAACATTTTTTCCTTATATCCATTAAATATGAATTAAAGTAGGGCAAAGACTAGGGGGAGGCAGGTGAGACACCTAGGACACCCAGGTAGGTACTCACTCACAGGGCTGTGCAAGTGCCTTCTTCACTTTTGCATTCTAGGTGCTTCACTTGTTTTATTCTAGTCCTAGCTTGGAGTTCCAGCAATAGTCTCATTCAACAATTTGGAACTTCCTTCCTGGCTCCCCAGCCTACCCAGCAGAATGCTGGTATGACAAGACAAGGTGCTAAAGTATAAAAGCAGGAGCCTTCAGATGTCACTACCACCATTGCTCTTATCCCTCCCACCTGTCACTTAAACCTGAGGTTACCAGAACTCTTTGCTGATCTCTAATGCCTTTGCTCAGCTGACAGGCAATTTTTGTTAGAGCAGCTAATGTCCAGCAGTGAGTAGAGGTTCCCTGGAGTCAACAGGACTTAGTGCCTGCATTGCCATTGCCGCTTCTACGTTTACCACTGTAAATTACAGTATCAAGAAATGTCTCCCAACACATCTATTTAGCATCTGGCACTGTGCCTAGCTCTTTATTAGGTAGAAGGCAAATATTTTTTKAATGAATAAAAACTTTAATTGAGAGCAAAAACCAGGCCTGTGATCATCCCAGGGATTTAATAAGATCTGGGGTATTCCATGGGGGACAGTTCTAAAGATTTTTGCAGAGATGAAACAGGGTATAGGCACAAGTCAACTAACTCCTATTCTAAATTGAGACTTTAGAACATCCATTTTAACTTTCACAAGGTGAAATCAGTTTGGCTCAACCCTCAGACCTTAGCCCTCAGACTGTCTTGCCACCCCAACATGGAACCTGGCTGATTCCATAAAATATCTTATAACCTCTGGGCACACAGCTGATCATGTATCACTCTTGCACTCAACCTTAAGCTGCTGTTTCTATAGAACCAAAACATATAGAATTGGGGCTCCTCCATTTCCTTTTTGTCTCAACAGGGACTAAGTAGGCCTAGATTACAGTAGGGGCCAAGAGTCAAAACACTAGAAACTGTGTGCGCTAACAAATTATAGGCAATCCTGGCCAGGTCTTGAGGCAGTCTTTTAAGAGAAGATTGGTTGAAATGCTACCTTTAAATACCTTATACTTTCAGAGCAAGCCTTTCCCCTAAATCAGACCTTGTCCCCATCCTAAAACCCTGATTGGGGTGGAATTCCTGAGTTACAACCTTAATATTCTTTCCTATAATCCCTTCTCCATTTTGCATTGGCAATTTTTACATCATTTGCCTATTTTGCTTCACAACTTCTGAAGTGTCGTCCAGTTTATTACTATAACCAATAATGTCCTGAAGTCTCTCTCCCTTTCTTGGGGTGGGATGAGAGTTCATCACTTAACGTGGTTTCAGCATGCCTTTCTATATAGATATTTCTCAGACTGTCTACAAATCTGTGATTTCCKCAATCAACTTCATTATTTCTGCCTACTATGCACTGTCACCTACACATCATTCTGATGTTTGTTTTAAATCACAGCATTACCCAAGTCTTGGCCTTAGAGTATCTCTTAAGTCATTGGTGGTGGCTAATGTTTCAGGTTATTTGACTATAGCTAAGTCTCTCTGGCTTCTGTTGTAACTCTGTGCCAACTCTCAAACAGGCCTCTAAGGTCTGGTTGTTTTTGACTCTTATGAGTACATACCTTGAATCTTAATTGGCACCTAGTGCCTCAGCACAACTTCACATAGCTAAAATGATTTCCATTCTGAGATCTTTGTGCTTTTTAAAAATTCTTCTATTTATTTTTTAGTTGTAGTTGGACACAATACCTTCATTTTATTTGTTTTTATGTAGTGCTGAGAATCAAACCCAGGGCCTCACACATTCTAGGTAAGTGCTCTACCACTGAGCCACAACCCCAGCCCTTCTTCTTTTTTTAATCTGGAAAACTTTCAGAAGTATTCATGATACTGCCTGTTACTATTGCTTACTGCAGCTAGACAAGATGAAGTTGAGGTCGCCTACTTCCTATATCAGAGGCTTTTCACACCCAACACGTGTTAGGGCACTGGCATGCTGGTAACTCACTGAACTTGGTTCTGGAAGTTCAAGAGTACTGGGGGCCTGGGAGGCTGGGGATATGGCTCAGTGGAGAAATGCTTGCCTAACATGCGCCAGGCCCTGGGTTCAACCTCCATTACTACCAAAAAAAAAAAAAAAAAAGTATTTGGCACCAGTTTTCCCTCTGTGATGAGGAAGTACCTACTGAATCTGCAAGCCTCCCTACTCCATCCATTCTCCATCTGTCCCATTGGGACCTTACCCTTCAGAACAGATAGCAATAAGGATCCAGCCTTAGGAAGGGTTGCCCCAGAGTATACATGTATTTTTAAACTCCAAGTGATGATGAATCCATGAACAACAACTAGCCATTGAACAAAGGACAATGAACAATTAGTTTTAACTCTCTAATTGTCAAGGAGCCTCACAGAGATAACATTTGAGATGGGACAGGGAAGATGGTCAGATTCACTAGAAAGGGAAAGAAATTCTAGAGGAATTACACAAATAGTAGCAGCAGGAGCTGTAGCAAAGGGTATAAGAGATCAGATGGTCAGCATTGTACGAAGGATATGTGGATTGGAACAACACTGGGCAGAGTTTTGAATGGGCCATGTAAAAAGGTTTAGACTTTATCCTTTAAAAGACATTCAGTACTTCCCCTTGCCTAAGCCACAGTGATTTCTGACCAGGTCTCTGTTTTAGAAAAGTAATTTGTGGTACCTATGTGAAGGATGGATGGTAAAAGGAAAGATATTCAAGCTGGGGAAACCAATAGGGAAATAAAATTTGAGTGGAAATTAAAGATCTGTATATATCTGGACAATGGCAAGGGAGAAGAAAGGAGGAATTCAGATGAATGCAGAGGTAGAACTATCAGGATTTGACTAAATACAAACCTAAATGTAAGGGAGGAGTAGAAAGATAAAACAGGGTTTCTAGGTTTTTCACCAAGATAAGAAGAATGAGGGAGGGAGAAACTGTTTTGGTTTGGTCATAGGGGACTTCCAGGTAGAAATGTCCAGTGGACAAGTACAGCTGGATTTCAGGAGAAAGGGCTAGAAAGAGATTTGGGAATATAAGAGTAAGTAGAACAAGAGAGACCTAAGGACAGAATGGTAGGGAACATGGATATTTAAGAGGCAGGAAGATCAATTGAAGAAGAGCAGTTTTAGAGGTAAGAGGAGAACCTAGGAAAGTAGTTTTAGAAGCCAAATTCAATAATTTCCTGCCAAAAGAATGAATTGGTAAGATGAAGACCAAGAAATGAATAACTGAAAATAAATTTTAGAGGTCTTTCTACCCATTGTATAGTTACTTCTGAAGAAGGGTGCTGGTCTGATGACAAGCTTACAAACACAAATTCTGACCAAGGGGAGCCAGCAGGTCAGTGAAGGCTAGCTAATAGTGAGTGACTAACCTGCTTGTGTCCTTTCCGCTCAGAGCCCCGAAGCCAGGACAGGAGACGGAGGCAACAGCCACTGAACCATCGACCTCCTGCAAGCAGCCTGGCCCCATCCCCAACTCCTGCTAATACCAGCCCAGCCTCCTCACGCAACCTGGGCTCCTGCCTCCTGCCCAATTCACTCAGTCTATCAGGTCTGTACCCACTGCCACTGAAATCTGGGTTGGCCAGCTTCTTCCCTTCCCTACCACCCAGGGTTTAGACCAGGCACCCAGTTAAGCTTGAAGAAATTCCTTCAGCCACACTGCCACCTAACTTGGGCTCCCTTGACCTGATATAATACAAGGCACTCCAGCCAAGAGCACCAGTTATCCTCCTGGTACCCTAAATCTCTAAACCTGTGCCTTTGTACAGGAGGCTGGGACTTACTGAAATGTCTTTGTAAAATAAAATAACATTTATTGAATGTTTACTATGTGCCAGGCACTGCTATACACACTATCTAATTTAATCCTCATTTTTATAGTTGAGGAACCTGAGGACTTTTCCTACCTGCAAAGTGCCACTTACCCAAGTTCCCCGATTCCAGAAGCTGGGCAACATTAAGACAAAACTGGAGAAGAAAAAAAGCATAGGCCTTTCACCTGTCATCACTGCAGTGTCCTATCATCCACAGAAAACTTAAGCCATCTACTCTCCTTTTAAGCTATAGACCCAGATGTGTAAAGGACTGGATGGGATTGATTTCTGCCTTACTCCGAGCCACTACTCCCAACCTGTCAATTCAATGGGTAGCCCTCAATCCAGGTCTTGGATAGAGTGGACTTGATCCTCAAATGCCTAAATATATGATTGGAGTGGCCCCAAGGTCTATAAATTTATATAGTACTTAAATTTGAGTAGATTCTACTTCTAGTCAAAAAAGTTCTCTGCTCTCCCTCTTGGACCAGAGTGAAGCTTCACTCAGGGGTGATCTTGCCCAGCAACATATGGAGACTTTTTTGGTTGTAACAATGGAGGAGGCCTGGGGAGGAAACTGCATATAGTAGACGCTGCTCATCATCCTACAATGTGCAAAAGAGCTCCTACAACAAAGGATTACCCAACACAAAATGTCAATAGTGGAAGATTGGGGGCTGGGGGTACAGCTCAGCAGTAGAGTTCTACCTCAGCATGCACAAAGTCCTAGGTTCAATCCCCAGCACTAAAAGCGCGCGTGTATACACACACACACACAAACACACACTGCCAAAGTTGAGAAACTGATCTAAAGGAAATTATCTCCTTTCTTCATAGCCCCTACCTTGATGATCAGTTTCCTCTGTTCTTTAGGGAGTAGCTGCTCACTCTTATCTTCAGGGGACAAGCCAGAGGCTGTCATGGTGATTGGGAAAGGTCTGCTAGGGGCTGGCGCTCGGATCCCCTGCATCAGGACTCGATTGCAGGTAACATTTTCTCTGGTCCCCATCGTAAGAAGTCTGGCAGAACCCATCAAGGCACTGTTCATCRGGGCAGTGGGAGGGAAAATGCTCAGCCCTGCTTTACAGCCTCTACTTCCAGCCATATCATAGAGCTGYTCTGGTGCCTGAGTGCTTACCTGCCCAGCCCCACCCCAATCCCCATCAGCCAGGTGTCTTGCTTGCTTCCAACCCCACTGTCCCTGCCAGATGCACCCCAACCTCAGCCTGCTAGCTTTGGCTTTCCCTGCCCCTGCCCTTAGCTTCTCCTCTCTTTCTGCCCAGACCTGCCAGAGGAGAGTTTCCGCCAGGAGGGGTCCCGGATTCCCCAGGTAACACATTTGGTTGCTGCTCCTAGGAACAGCCTTGCCACCACCTCCAAGTCAGTCCAGATCCCCATATTAGTTTAGCTAAAGTTGGGTACAGGCAGAAGCTCACTGGATGGGTGAAGCTTAAGCTGCTCTGGCAGGGGCTGAGGCCTAGAAGGACCTGAAGGAGGTCTACCAGTCCCTCATATTTCTACACAGTGCTTTTGTACTCAGGCAGGCCTTGGCCATGGTTTACCCATGAAGGCTAAATGCTAGGTCCTTCTGCCACCTTTGTGCTAGTTACATAAGACTTGGAGTACATAGTCATGGACTGAAGCTAGGAGTTCTGTTATCTTGCCTCATCCTCTCAACTAGAAACAATGCCCAGGAATTCAAGGCTCTACTACCTCTGTTGACTCCTATACTAGACTCTTATGCATGGAAACTCAAGAGGCAAACCTAGAAGCAGAAAAGCTCATGGAAGAACCCAGCCTCTTAGCCTAATCCTGTCTACACAGGCTAGGCCCAGGTTGGGCCGGGGCTCACCGCCGACTTGCAGAGGGGTAAGAGGCTCTTCAGGCCCCACATCCCCTATCTCCAGGACCAGAGAAAGCAGTGAGCCAGAGCCGGGACCCGGTCCTGCTATACCAGGGTGAGCACCTAGACCCAGTTCTCTCAGCCCTCCCCTCATTTCCATTTCTACCATTCCAGATCATTTTCGTCCTTCCCTACTCCCTTTAACCCCAAAGACTGAATGTGCTTTCATTAAGCATCTAGTCCCTGATTTTTTTATTCCATCATGACCCCAGTGTTTATTTAAAAGGACTAGAAAACAACTGCTAGTTAGAGTCTTAAGGCCTAGGAGCTAGCTAGCAGGTTCCAGCATGTGACCTCTGTGCAGCCATCAACCTGCCTCTCTTCTCTTAAAGCTACCAGCCTCTTGCTAACAGACCATAACCTTGATTCTTCTCTCTTTTCTGTTGCAGGATGCCTCAGGCCGGCCCCCCACGGCCCCGCTCTGCCCCTGCCTTTTCTCCTATTTCCTGTTCTCTATCTGATGTCCCATCCCGGATTTGTTACAGCAGGGGGCCCTTGGGCCAGCCTGAGGTTTGTTTTGTCCCTAAATCTCCCCCACTCACCGTTTCTCCCCGGGTTTGATAATGCCTTTACTTCCATGCCCAGGATAGGGTCCCAAAGTGGGGGAACACAGTGAGAAATATGATAGTCCCCTCCTTGGGCTGCAGATTCCATGTTACAACATAACTCTTTGGAATGCCAGCCACTATCTGAGGCCTTGCAGAGCATTACCTTGAGATGGGACAAAACAGGGACCTGTACCCCTTCCCTCCCTCCACAGCACAAGATTTTGGGACCACAAAAAATATATATCTATATTTTTGTATTGGGGGGAGGGGAGGGAGTAGAAAAGCAGCCCCTATACTGGGCCCTATTCAGTGGCAGCTTCTTGTTCCATAKGGTTAAGGAAGACTTTGAGGAAATAAAAGTTGTTTGGAAAAATCCAGGTGTAGTTSCTTTGTATGTTGTGATGGGTAGAAGGGATGAAGTGAAGTGTGAAGGCCCCTCACACCCTCCATCTTGCCTCAGACTATGTCCTGGAACCCTAGAAAAGAGGGGGAAAGACCTGAGGTAAGGAAAATGCTGCAGCTTTCCCCTGGGAATCCTGGAGGCAACTCCCAGTGAACCTGTTCCCCTTTACATCTCTGACCCAAACTTAAGGTTGATTCCCAAGCTCCCCACCCCCACTTTCTTCTTTCTAGCTTGGGTCTACAGTACCCAACCACTAAACCAATGACTCTGGCTTAAGAATATGGAAATAGAAGTCTACATTTTTCATCCGCTCAAAAAAAAAACAAAATTTCTACCTAAATAAGAAGCCTAAACAACCTTGGAAAAGTGGCGGCTATTTAAGAACGCTTATCCTCATGGCACCTTTGCTTCTACCGCTGCCAGTGCCTCCAATGCCCCCAACTTGGGCAACTTGCTACTGGAAAACCCATGAAGATAGGGACCGAGGAAGATTGGGATATACCCCTACCCCACCCCATCCTATCCTATCCTCGSAGGGAGAAGTTTAGGAGGAAGGAGCAGGACACTGCAAAGCACTGTATCTGCGGATAAAGGGGCCCAATTCTGGACGTCTCATGCTTGGCCCGACACTTTCGGATTTAAAGTTTCGAACCTTGCAGGCCCTAACGCGGTCCTCTCCACTCAGCTCTCTGGGGGCTGGGCGCTACAGCCCCGACCGTTACCTGGGGCGGAGAAAGCGCCACTTTCATTCCTGCTTCTTGGGATTGTTGACGGCCACGTAGTGATAGAGAACCACAAGCAAGAATAGCGACACGCCCAGCATGTTGGCGAAGATGGCGAGCTGAACGTCTGTGATCATCCTGCAGAGAAGGGGAGGGACTGAGCCTCGGGTCGGCACGCTTCTCGCGCTCTCTAGGGCGAGTCTGAGACTCCGCGACCCGGCCAACTTGGGGCTGGTCCGTGAGACAGCGCCTGCGTGCCCCTCACCTGACCAGCTCGACTCCGCTCCGACGCTGCCTGGAGGTGGGAGACTTGGACCGGAACTTGGTAGCGTCAGCTGCGGCCCAAGCAGGTACTTCCGCCGGGCTGCGAGCTGGAACCACCTCTCTAGCCCCGCGGTCTCGTCTGCTCCCTCTGCGCGCGCGCAGGGGGCGGAGCAGCAGTGGGACTGACAGCTGTGCTTGTGGGCGGGGCCGCGGAGGCGTGCCTCGTGCTTTAGTGGCACAGCTGGCCGCAGCTGGGGCGGTCGGGCTCGGGGTTAGCAAAGCTGTGGTGGCCGCCTCCCTGGAGCCGAGGAGTGTATTAGGGCGAGGGTGGGCTGCGGGGCCGGGCRGGAGACTTAGCTTGACCCGCAAGCTCTGGCCCACTTTCCTGTCCCGGCCCCCCGCACTGCTGCCCACCCTTCATTTCCCGGCCCGGCCCAGCCAGGTGCTTCCTTTGGGTCCTGCCCTCACGGTCCCCTCCCTGGCTCGGGCGGCGGGGACTGGGTGGGAGGCAGTGCAGAGGTGCAGAAGGGGAATAGGATTGCGGCTGCTGCTGTCAACCTTTCTGACCCCCATCCTACCTAGGAGACTGATCTGCCTGTAATCTGAACAGAGCCTGTCTTCTCCAGGTCCCCACTTCCATCCCACTCCTGGAGGTGGGCGTAGAAAATAGGGCGGACCCTCCCGGAATCAAAAACCAAGCTGTGGGACCTCCGCCAAGTGGGAAATCACCCCCCGGATGTGAGGGAGGGGGTAGGGGAGGAAGGCTGGGACAAGCCAGAGGGATCGTGGGTTCCGGCCAGAGAAAGGAGAGGTAGCTGTGGTAGACGGCCCAGGGTCTCTTGTGAGGGGAGCAGCAGCCTAGCTCTACAACCCTCTGCCCAGCTAGAACCTTCTTCTCCACCCCCACCTACTCCTGGCTTTCTCGGCTTCACCATAAAAGGGAACGGCATGGAGCCAGACGGGCCGGGGGCCGGGCTGTTGCTCTGGAGCTGTCAGGGGTAATGGAAGCCAGTTGCTTTGCGGTAGAGGGGGGCCAGGGCTCAGGGGAGGCCTATGCTTCCCTGAGCCAAAGAAAACTCTACAGGAGCTGGTATGGGACTGGAACATCTGGGACAGGGGAACAACTTGCCTCCTGTATTTACAATGAGCTGGGGTTGTACTATCCCAAAGTGCCTTCCCCGGCCTAAGACTATCAGCAGTTTGTGTCCTTTGTATTCTCCCTTCACCCACTACTTCCGCCAATGATTCCTAAATTCAGTACCTGCCTTTGGTAGTTTGTAGTTTCCCTGACCTCCCTCCCCCTTTCCCCGAATCCCCCATCTACTCTTTCCCCAAAGTTTCATATGTAGAATCCCAGGCCTCCCCTCCACATAACATCGGTGAAACCCCTGATATGCTCTTCCTATGCACATCTCTGCGAGCAGGTTGTTCCCAGCTCTTCTCTGGAAGAATGAGGGTCTAGGTCTTAAATAATTACACATCATTATGCTTCCTGTCTCCTGGAAATTTGGAGCAGATTCAAGTCCAACCAGACACTTAGATCTACTGTTGAATCAAAAGTAGAGCTTCCTTTTTAAAATAAGCTGTACCTCTAAGCTAACCCTGGAAGGTAAACTTCCTATACTGTACATGGCATGAGAGAGGACTTTGAGAAGTGCATCAGATTTCCCAGACTGTCCTAAAACCAACACAGGTGCATAGTATCCTAAACAATCACAGTGAATCWTAAACAATCACAATTGAAGGGAGCCTTCAGGATCATTTTATAAAGAAGAAAACAGGCCCAGAAAGTAATTTGACCTAGGTTCTGCAACTGGTTAGAGATAGTTCTCCTACCTCCCTTCTACATTCCTGGTTGGACTATGGACTCAATAGGTTGTCCCAGGGTCAGGGACAAAAGAGAAAGGATTTATTTTTGAATTACCCAGAAATGTCCTTCACCTCCCAGAACTTCCTGTGCTTAGGTCAGTGAGTCTTCATCAGCATTAAGTGGGGTCATTTGGCCTAATGCCTGGAAGAACCAAAATGAAAATGTTCTCCAAACTGAACTAGACTCAGCTAAGAGCTGACAAAGTTTGAAAAAAGCTTGGTGGAAAAGTATGTGGGGGGGATTAGAGTTGGGAGACAATGGGGAACACTTATGGAGTTTAATCTTTATGATTCAAGGAAAGGACTTGAGACCAGGATTAGGCTCAGGTATAAGAAAGCAACAAGACCTGGGAAAAGGGGGCTATGTCCAGAGAGGCCAGTTCTTAAAGTATGATATGTGAAGGAAGAGTTAGGTGGGAAAAGTGTGTGCTTTGGGGGAGCAGTGGACTTTGGCTCAAGACTCCCCCCAAGGTGGAATTCCCATCTGGATTGTCAGGATGCAAGGATTCCCTTTCATCCTCCTAGTATTCAGTCCTGTGTCAGAGGGTATTATATATAATATATTTATTGCTGATGTCTCCACCTGTCCTGGCCCTGGGAATCTGAGCTTATTGCTCAGTAAATGATGGTTGCATGAATGAGTTAGTTGCCTAGTATGGCCAAGACTTCCCATTAGCACTAGATCCTTGGAAATCCCCATCTTAGAGAAGTTGTAAAATAGATCTTGTCCTACTATTCCAGGGACTTTTTTGGCATTCTTGCTAATTGCTTTGGGAATTTGTGGCTGCCAGTACTGTCATCACAAGCCACTGCTTCCATCACCACCACCACTGCATTCCTTCCAACCTTGGTTTCCATTGCAGCATGCTTGCCCATCCTCAGACTGAAGATAGAACTGTAGTCCCCAATGAACCAAGGGCCACCAGTTTACTTGAAATTTCACAAACATTCATGTTCATGTCAGCTCCCAAGTCTTGGCTCTTAATTATAAAATTAAACAAGCCCAATACGGTGGCACACACCTATAATCCCAGTGGCTTAGGAGGCTGAGGCAGGAGGAATGCAAGTTCGAAACTAGTCTCAGCAATTTAGTGAGGCCCTAAGCAACTTAGTGAGACTCTGTCTCAAAATAAAAAATAAAATTGCCTGGGGCTGTGGCTCTGGGTTCAACCCCTGGTACACACACACACACACACACACACACACAAAACAACAACAACAAAAACCTAAACAAAATACAAAATGCAACCTAATGCAATTGTATTTCAAAGCCAACATTTTTTACTTGACACACTTAAACTATACAATTTTTTTTTTGGGGGGTGGAGGTACCGGGGATTGAACTCAGGGGCACTAAACCACTGAGCCACATCCCCAAGCCCTATTTTGTATTTTATTTAGAGACGGGGTTCACTGAGTTGCTTAGTGCCTCACTTTTGCTGAGGCTGGCTTTGAACTCACTATACTCCTGCCTTAGCCTACTGAGGTTGCTGGGATTACAGGTGTGTGCCAATGCACACAGCTGTACAATGTATTTTTTTATTAGTATTTATTTTTTAGTTGTAGTTGAACATAATACCTTTATTTTATTTATTTTCTTTTATGTTGTGCTAAGGATCAAACCCAGGGCCTCTCACGTGCTAGGCGAGTGTTCCTTCGCTGTGCTACAACCTCAGCCTCTATACAATGTATTTTTTAACTCCAGGGGGCAGGAGAAGGAATGAGTGACRACTGGACAGTGACAAGATATCGGGGATGATTTTTAAGGTTTCCAGAGGCCCCCTGAAGAAGAGAAGAATGGGGAGAACAACAACAACAACAACAAACAAAAAAAAAGCTATAGTGACAGGGCAATCTGGAGGGGAAGTGGGCTGGCTTCCTGCCAGAGCCAGAGCCAAGGCCTGAAACTAATGCAGAGACTAGGGACAAAGCTAAAGCCTTCCTCTGAAGATGCTTTGAAATCAGGATCTCCCGTGAACATTTCCTTTAAGTCACCCTGTTTATTACTCTCCAGACCTCTAAGGAGCTGCCACAAATTTCCATTTATATTGGTTCCAGGATTTATTTTCACCACCCTGACTTTGCACTAACACTTCTTTCAGCCATCAAGGTTATATTTTAGATCAGAAGTCATTAGAGGTAGAGACAGATCACCCAAAGTCACACTGAAGATCTAGTGGCATCCATTCTCATGGCTTTCAATTGCCCTTCAAATCATTCCCAAAAATCTATGTCTACATTTCTTTCTTTCTTTCTTTTTTTTTTTTTTTTGTGTGTGTATGTGTGTGCATGTGTTGCTAGGGATTGAACCCAGGGCTTTATGCGTGCAAGGCAAGCACTCTACCAACTGAGCTATATCCCCAGCCCTCTTTTTTTCTTTTATGTACCAGGTATTAAAACCAGAGGTGCTTAAACATTGAGCTACATCCAGCCCTTTTTATTTTTTTTATTTTGAGACAGGGTCTTACTAAGTTACATAGGGCCTCACTAAGTTGCTGAGGCTGGTCTTGAACTTGTGATCCTCTTGCCTCAGCCTCCTGAGTCAATAGAATGACAGGCATGCACCACTGCACCCAGCTGCACCCTCCCTATTGTGACTTAAACTCTGGAATCTTCTCTGATGTCTTCTTTCTTCTGTTCTCTCATTACCAAGGCAGGCATCAAGTGGTCACCACCTTCCATCCCCCCCCGCCCCCCATGGTTACTGTCTCCACGAGAGCCTACCTGCATCACTTTGCAATGTGAATTTTGGAAGGGGCCTTAGACAACAGACTCCTAAGGGTGTCATGGGATTTGCTTAGTTAAATCACTGGTTGGATGAGTGGGAATAGATTCCTGTGCCCTGACACCCTGGCTCTCATTGACATCTTTCTGTGCATGAGTATACTCCTGTACTCAAAACCTTGCAACCCAACCCCTTACCCAGCCATCTGAGCCTTCCCTTTTCCCCTAATTTGCCCACAGTCTATCTCCTGGGCTTTCATCCTGCTCCTCCCTGACACAGATAAGACCTAACATTTACTGAGCATTTACCATGTCCCAGGCACTGTTCTAAAATGCTTTACATGCATTAACTTCCTTAATCACAAACCTAGGATGGAGGGTACTATTATTATTCCTATGTTACAGAGGAGGCAGCTGAGGCAGACCACTGTCCCCGAGTCTGAAATCTCTGTCTTCCCCTTGCTTCTGTTCACTCCATCCCCACTCTGCCCAGCACTGTTCACATTCTGACTTTTCCAGCATTTCCAGCAGCTCTCCTCTGTCCATCCCCAGCAGCCAGCTGTGTCTCCCCCTCCTCTAGCCAGAACACACATCATCCCTTTGTCCTGATGATGGTCTGGTCTGTCTTGCTTCGTGGTGGTTCTGTTTGGGGGCTGTGTCTCATTTCCCAACAGTCTGAATTGCTCCTTAGTTGACAGTGACTAACCCTCAGATGTGCCTTTGCTGTCTAGGTACCTCCTTGGTGCCTGGCCCACAGATTCTCCTGTCTCCTAACTTCTTCTCTCTCCCACCCAGAACACGCTGGTTCAAGCACAGTGTTGTGGACCAGTGGGGTGCAGGGGTGGGGTGGCCAGGCTGACAGAACAGATATCTCACCAGGATCTTTCAAGATAAGATAAGACCTAACAAGATAAGACTTTGGGGTCTTTGAGGGCTGCAGGAAAAAACTTGCCTCCAGGCTGTGGAGTGGCTTTCTCTGGCTATACAGATAGGTCCCACTTACTACCACCACTTCCACCTACCTCCAGGTAGGGCCTGACRTTCACCAAAACAAACCTGAGGCCTGTATTCATTTGATGCTTTAAGGAGATGCTGTCTTCTCTTTCCCACATCCCCTTCCTTACTAAAGTGGACTGCTCTCAATTTCCAGATTTCCTTCTTCCTCTTCTGTCTTCCCAGGATTTTATACCTGCCTCAGTGGATTGTTTTGTTTTTTTCTCCCTGGCCACTTCAGTCACTGACCTGGGTATATAGAGTTTAATTTACCTGTGTTAACTTGGGGCATTAACTGCCTGTGTTACTTTGGGCAGGTAACTTTCCTGTTCTGGACTTCAATGTTCATGTCTCTAAAAGGAGGCAGCTGGGCAGATGGTCAGTGAGGCCTTGCTGGGCCTGCTGGTTCATTCTTCCCTGTACAGTCCTGCTCTTCTACTTTCCCCTCTGGGCTTCCCCTCTCTCAGTCCTCTCCCACGGGAGGCTACCCTGGCCCAGGAGAGCTGTGGCTCTGGCTCCCACACCCTGTCTCAGTCACCAGCCTTGGGCCTCCTCTCCAGCTTTGGCCCCAGCTCCATGTGGCCTGTCTGAGAGGCTGGCCCCAAGCCCGGCGGCAACTCCACATTTCTCTGTTTTTCCTTTTTTTTTCCCCCTCTCTTTCCCGGAGTTAACAAGAAGCAGATGTGGCGCAGGATGGTTGGAGAGGTGGGGGGAGGAAGGGGGAGGCTAGACCGCCAGTCAGACAGGGGGGAAGGGAGGGGAGTGAGCAGGGAGGGAGGAGGCTGGCCCGCCCCACAGTCACTCTTGCGCCTCTGTGCCTCTGCACAGCCACAGGGGCAAAGCCTTGTCACCCCCCACCCCCCAAGATCCGGTCATCAGGGAAAAGAACTGGGAGACCAGAAGAGGGCCAGCTGGGGTGAGGGGGCGGAGGCCCAGAAAGCAGCATCTGAGAAGAGCAGGGTCCAGGAGGCCAGGGGCCCAGAGAACAGACTCCCCTCAGAAGTGGAGAAGAGGAGAACGGAAGGAACCAAGGGAGGGACAGACGTGAGCCTGAGGAGGAAAGAGGTGGGGGAGTGGGGTCAGGCCCGGCGGGAGCCAAGGAGGAGGCGTGTGGCTGGGGGCTGCCRGCAGGAAGCCGGGGACAGGACTGGCCTGGAGTGGTGTCCCCTGGAGGAGCAGCATCCCCCAGAGCCCGGCAGAAGCACCAGTGGTCAGGCCAGGATGTGCCTCTGAGGGTCACCGCGGAACACCTCACCATGGCCCCCGGCACACTCTGGAGCTGCTACCTCTGCTGCCTGCTGACTGCCGCCACAAGGGCTGCCAGCTACCCTCCTCGAGGTTACAGCCTCTATACAGGGGGCGGCGGGGCCCTCAGCCCCGGAGGGCCCCAGGCCCAGAATGCTCCCCGRCCTGCCAGCCGCCACAGGTAAGAATCTGGGTCCCAGCTCAGGGCTGGAGGTGGGTGGGAAGCAGGCTAAAGGTGGGTGTGCTGGCCACCCTTCTGGTACCCTCCATGCTGGGGAGAGAGTAGCCCATCCATCAGTGACCTCTCACATGCCCACGTTACTTGAGAGCCTTTTCTAGGGTCTGGGTGGCCTAGTGAGGATGAGCTCCCATCTTCTCCCCACAGAAACCTGCAGTTCAGTGCCCAGGGAAACTATCCCGAGGGGCATGAGCCAGACATTTCTGCCAGCTGCCCATTGCATGCCAGTTCTGATCCTCAGCAGATCTTTTGTCCCTTTCTAGGGCTTCCTTGGCCCCATCCAGTAATCTATAATTCTGACACCACTCCTGCTCTGCTTCACTTCAGCCGGCCACAGATCAGAGGCCGGCATGAATGGGGCCAAGAGTGCAACGCTGCAAGCCCCAAGGGGGGCCGAGTTCATCAATGGCTTATTCTCTACTTAACCCTGAGCCGGACCTCGGCCTGCCCCTGTCCTCTTCCCTGAGGTGTAGTTGGAAGAGCCACATCCAGGCGATCATCTGCTGGGACCCAGCTGGCTGGCTCACGTACTGCATGACAAGCTGGGGCTTGAGACAGGGCCAGAAAGGGATATAAATGACTATGTGAATTCAGAGGTTCCCCAGGACCCCACAGCCATGAAGACTGACTTCTCTGCAGCTGTGCTTTTCCATTCTGTGCCTCTCCCCATCTTGAAAAGTCTTTATCTGCACTGGCTACACAGGAAAGTGTGTGTGTGTGTGTGTGGGGGGGCTGCCCCTGCCAAAACTCTGGCTCTCACTGGTCTCCAAGGGCCCTACATCTTTTGACCCTCCGTCAGTCCCTCTGATAGTCCCTGGGCCCTCCTCTGGGTATGTGTTTCTGGTCCTTGGGCCCAGGTAGGGTTGTGCCTACAGGAACTGGTGTGCCTATGTGGTGACCCGGACAGTGAGCTGTGTCCTTGAAGATGGAGTGGAGACCTTCGTCAAGCCAGACTATCAGCCCTGTGGCTGGGGCCAGCCCCAGTGTCCCCGAAGCATCATGTAAGCCTCCAGTGCTGAGGAATGAGCACCTGATGGGAGGTGGGCAAGGCTGAAGGTGGCTAATGGGGAGTTTATGTAAAGCCCTTAGCAAGTGGCAGGACAGAGCTTTGGTCAGAGCCATTTCGAGGAGATGCTGGGGCAATAGCTTGCCTGATGGGAACTACAAGAACATTTCCCTTACTTGCCAATATCCAGGCCCTCTCTGGGGTCAAGGAGGGATGCTTAAGTTTCCAGCATGGGGCAAGGGGAAGAAAAGCAGGGATTTGGCCCTTGGCCAAAAAGCTGACAGCTGTCAACTGAGCAAGGCCACATGCTGGTCAGAAAGGGGCATCCAGCCTAAGGGAAAGGGCTTGTCCACCAGCAGCTGCGCAGGGTCACTGAAAACACAGGGAGAAGACAGAGGGCTTCCTCTGCTTCTTCCAGGTACCGAAGCTTCCTCCGCCCTCGCTACCGTGTGGCCTACAAGACAGTGACAGATATGGAGTGGAGGTGCTGTCAAGGGTATGCAGGAGATGATTGTGGGGAAGGTCCTGCCCCAGCATTGGGCCCTGCACCCTCCACACCACTCCCCCGGCCCCGGCCTGCCCGTCCCAACCTCTCTGGCTCCAGTGCTGGCAGCCACCTCAGTGGACTAGGAGGAGAAGGTGAGTGTGGGAGTTTCTGGCAGGAGCAATGGGAGACAATCCTGGGGGCGGGGATATGTGGCGCCAAGCTACTGACAGAAAACTCTTGTGCTCAAAGTCAGAGAAGAGAGGGGCAGAAGGCAGTTAATGAGATCCCTGAGATGATTCTGGGGTGTGTTTGTGTGTGTGTGTGTGTGTGTGTGTGTGTGTATGTGTGTGTGTGTGATAGAGAGAGAAAGACAGAGAGAGAGAGAGAATGTGTGTGAGACAGACAGACACAGAGACAGAAAGACGTGCAAACCAGACAGAGAAAAAGAAGACAGAAAGAGAATGTGCTCACACACGCCCACATGTGGCCAAGATCCTTCCTAGTTGGGACCAACTGAGGGAAGAACGGGGAATTCCTTTGAGAAGCGGTCCATGGGGAAGCCAGTTGAGACTACAAGTCCTAGCATGCACTGCACCTGACTACAGGTCCCAGGCCTCTCCATGGCCTCTGGAGACCGCAGGTCCCAGAATGCAGCAGTCTTCCTGTGGTGTGTATGTGTGTGTGTGTGTGTGTGTGTGTGTGTGTGTGTGTGTGTGTGTGTTGGGCAAACCGGATGTACTGACTTTTCCTGCCAAAGAGATAGCAGTACTATAATTATGGAAACAGGAACTTCTAGCTAACTCTCTCACCATCTAGCCAGAGCCCAGAAGGCTTGCCACAGAGCTTCCCTCTTGTTTGTCCCAGATGACTGGGAAATGCCCAGTCATTGCTACAGTGTGATGTCCAAAACACCTCCCCCACAGTCCCATTTTGGGCCCTTTGACAGCCGGATGAGGGAGGACAGATAATGTCATTCTCATTTCCTAGATGAAGAAACAATTTCCAAGATGTTAAGAGACACTGAAAAAGTGGAAAGGACCTGGGCTGGTGGCCAGACAGATGATCTGGATTTGAAATTTGGCATTACCATTTATTAAACCTGTAATCTGTGGCCAGTTACCTAATATCTCTGGTCTTCTGTTTCCCAGTCTATCCAACAGSAAGAGTTTGTAGTAAATACCCAGGGGAGAAGTTGCAAGGGGATCAAGTCATATTTCAAATTTGGCCTATACATTCAGTGAATGGAATTTTCTTCTCTTCTTGCCTGAATTACCTAAAGAAGAGGCAGAGCTGGCTATATCTCTGACCCATGCTGGAACTAGGGTGAGCAGGGCCTAGGAGATAGGCCCTAAGTTCTGACACCTCTTTGCCCTCTGCCTTCCCCTGTCTTCAGGTCCTGGAGAGTCAGAGAAGGTGCAGCAGCTGGAGGAGCAGGTGCAGAGCCTGACCAAGGAGCTGCAAGGCCTTCGGGGAGTCCTGCAGGGACTGAGTGGGCGCCTGGCAGAAGATGTGCAGAGGGCTGTGGAGACAGCCTTTAATGGACGGCAGCAGCCAGCAGATGCAGCTGCCCGCCCTGGCGTGCATGAAACACTCAATGAGATCCAGCACCAGCTGCAGCTCCTGGACAACCGAGTCTCCACCCACGACCAGGAACTGGGCCACCTCAATAACCACCACAGTGGTGGCAGTGGTGGAGGCGGTAGGGCCCCAGCCCCTGTCCCAGCCCCTCCTGGCCCCAGTGAGGAGCTGCTACGACAGCTGGAGCGGCGGCTTCAAGAGTCCTGCTCTGTGTGCCTGGCTGGGCTGGATGGCTTCCGCCAGCAGCAGCAGGAGGACAGGGAGCGGCTTCGAGCACTGGAGAAGCTACTGGCCTCTGTGGAAGAGCGGCAGCGGCAGCTCACAGGGCCTGCTATGGGCCGCAGGCCCCCTCAGGAATGCTGCCCTCCAGAGCTGGGCCGACGACTGGCAGAGTTGGAGCGCAGGCTGGACGTAGTGGCCGGCTCAGTAACAGTGCTGAGTGGGCGGAGAGGCACTGAGCTGGGAGGAGCTACTGGGCAAGGGGGACACCCCCCAGGATACACCAGCTTAGCCTCCCGCCTCTCTCGCTTGGAGGACCGCTTCAACTCCACCCTGGGTCCCTCAGAGGAGCAGGAGGAGGGCTGGCCTGGGGGTCCTAGGGGGCTGGGCCTCTGGCTGCCTGCTGCCCAGGGCCGCCTGGAGAGGTTGGAGGGACTACTAGCCAATGTGAGTGGGGAGTTGGGTGGGCGTCTGGATCTGCTGGAAGAGCAGGTGGCAGGGGCTGTGCAGGCATGTGGGCAGCTCTGCTCTGGGGCTCCTGGGGATCAGGACTCTCAGGTCAGTGAGATCCTCAGTGCCTTGGAGCGCAGGGTACTGGACAGTGAGAGCCAGCTGCGACTGATGGGCTCAGGTCTACACAAGGTGGGAGCAGCAGGGGAGGCCCAGCAGGCCACGCTAGAGGGACTGCAAGGGATTGTGGGCCAGCTCCAAGAGCGTGTGGATGCACAGGAGAAGACGGCTACAGAGCTCACACTGCAGCTGAATCTCACAGTGGCACAGCTGAGCCAATTGAAGGGTCTTTTGCAGGCCCGTGGGGACGAGGGCTGTGGGGCCTGTGGCGGTGTCCAAGAAGAGCTGGGCCGTCTACGGGATGGTGTGGAGCGTTGCTCCTGCCCTCTGTTACCTCCACGGGGTCCTGGGGCTGGCCCGGGCGTTGGAGGACCAAGCCGTGGGCCTCTAGATGGTTTCAGCGTGTTCGGGGGCAGCTCTGGCTCTGCCCTACAGGCCCTGCAAGGAGAGCTCTCTGAGGTCATTCTCACCTTTAGCTCCCTCAATGACTCACTGCATGAGCTCCAGACCACTGTGGAGGGACAGGGTGCTGATCTGGCTGACCTGGGGGCCACCAAGGACAGCATCATATCTGAGATTAACAGATTGCAGCAGGAGGCCACAGAGCATGCTACAGAGAGCGAGGAGCGCTTCCGAGGCCTGGAGGAGGGACAGGCACAGGCTGGCCAGTGCCCGAGTCTGGAGGGGCGATTGGGCCGTCTTGAGGGAGTCTGTGAGCGTTTGGACACTGTGGCAGGGGGACTACAGGGCCTGCGCGAGGGCCTTTCCAGACACGTGGCTGGGCTCTGGGCTGGGCTACGGGAAACCAACAGCACCAGCCAGACACAGGCAGCCCTGCTAGAGAAGCTGCTGGGGGGTCAGGCAGGCCTGGGCAGACGGCTAGGTGCCCTCAACAGCTCCTTGCTGCTCCTAGAGGACCGTCTGCAACAGATCAGCCTGAGGGACCTCACTGGTAAGGGGCAAAAAGAGGCATGGGGAGACCCTTTCCAATCCCTTTCCTTCTTCTCCCACCCCACAATAGCCCAGGCTTGATCTTCTCCCTGTTCTGTCCAGCATGAACTACAGCTCCAACCAATGTCCCAGGGGTCACAGTGTGTCCAGATATGATGCAAGGTTCTAGCTGCCTGCCTTCTCTCTGGCTGCTCAGATAGGTCTGTGGGTGGAGGTGGGATGTTGCTCTGCCAGCATCCAGCATGGGCAGCAAGGGTCCCATCTCCCCATCAACCTGCAAGTCCCGCCTATTTCACCCTATCTCCCTCTCCATGGAACCATCTTTCTCATCCATTGAATGCTCCCTTTAGGGCTCTCCTTCAACTTATTTTTGTCTCCATAGGGCCTTCTGGTGAGGCTGGGCCTCCAGGGCCTCCTGGTGTACAGGGACCCCCAGGCCCTGCTGGACCTCCAGGACTTCCAGGCAAGGATGGACAAAAGGGGCCTATTGGTCCACCAGGTATGTGGGYTGTGACCCCTGCTGGAGCTAGGGTTGCCACTCCCTGGGCAGCCCTTAGCTTGACATTAATTACACTCTGAGCTTGACAGAGAAGGAGAAGCCAGTAAGAAATAAGGGACTCCGAATGACTAATAGTAGATAGAGGAAAGTGACTAGTAGCTGGCATAGTGCCTGCATTTGAGTATGTTGGTCCCACTGCTGTACTGGAGACTAAGGCTGAGCCTACACAGACCATCTGGGGGTGTGGAAGAAAGTCTAGAGGCAAGGGCTCATGGTCCAACAGTCAAACAGAATGGACCTTACCTATCTTTCTTTTTGGTATTGGAAATTGAACCCAGGGTCGCTTAACAACTGAGCCACATCCCCAGCCTTTTTAAAAAATGTTTTATTTAGAGACAGGGTCTCATTAAGTTGCTTAGGGCCTCAGGCTGGCTTTGAACTCACAATTCTCCTGAGCCCCTGGGATTACAAGTGTGTGCTACTATKCCTGGCTATTCCTCCTTTTCTTGATCCCCCTTTCTTGCTTTGAAATTCACATAGCACCCAGAATGGCAGAAGAGACACAGCAGATGTTTGCTGAGTGATTTTGTGAGAGCTGCCCTCCTTCTCACTGCTCCTTTTTCTCTTTCCACAGGTCCCCAGGGTGAACAGGGTAAGTTCCTCTCATTAGGTGCCAGAGGGAGAACTGATCTCTGGTTGGAGGATGGAAGTCCTCAGGCAGCCCAGATGGAGATCCCCTAGGGAAAGGAAGCCAGCTCTGGCTGAGCATCCACTCTAACACCTGCCCTACCCCCATGCAGGAGTGGAGGGGGCACCAGCAGTGTCTGTGCCTCGGGTGGCATTTTCAGCTGCCCTGAGTTTGCCCCGGTCTGAACCAGGCACAGTCCCCTTTGACAGAGTCCTGCTCAATGATGGAGGTTACTATGACCCAGTGACAGGTAAGCCAGGGATGGGCTGAACTGAGCCTTTGGGGAAATGCAGGAAGCTGGGCAGTGATGTCTTCTCATTCTTACTCCTTGATATAATGCCAATCTTTTTACACTCTGACTTGGGGAGACCTCTACTCTAGGAATCTAYGCTCTGTGAGGCCTTCCAGGCTACCGTCTTCCCTTCTGATCGCTATCCTTGTCCCTAGGTATATTCACCGCACCACTGTCCGGACGCTATTTGCTGAGCGCAGTGCTGACTGGGCACCGACACGAGAAAGTGGAGGCAGTGCTGTCGCGCTCTAACCTGGGCGTGGCCCGCATAGACTCTGGCGGCTACGAGCCTGAGGGCCTGGAGAACAAGCCGGTGGCAGAGAGCCAGCCCAGCCCGGGTGCTCTGGGCGTCTTCAGCCTCATCCTGCCGCTGCAGGCGGGGGACACAGTCTGCATCGACCTGGTCATGGGGCAGCTGGCACACTCGGAGGAGCCACTCACCATCTTCAGTGGAGCGCTGCTCTATGGAGACCAGGAGCTTGAACAGGCGTAGGGGGGACTGGCCTGACCGCCAGGATGGTCTACACCCACCACAGGGCCAGCGGGGCGTCGGGATCCTGGGGCTCCCGGCCTGGTTCGGGACACCCAGCCTTCGGCAATCCGCCGCACCTGGCCCCGCCACGATACAGGCGCACACAGCGACCTCTCCCCATGCCAGGTGCGCGCCGGCTCAGGGACTTTGGCCTCCCTTTGTCCAGACTGAGTCTGACCAATGTCCCTTCCAGAATGCCCTCCAGGACCCGGAATGCGGTGGAGGAGCCGATCCTCGCACCCTTTGCGCCCTCAACCTGAGCTCTAGGCCGAATGGCCGGCTCCTGGGCTATGCCCAGMGGGCTCCGGCCCATAGCGCCATACTAAACAATTCAGGAATAAAGACACTTGGTTTTTTCTACAAAAACATTACTGTTCTGCTTCAGTGCGTGCTCAGGGGTAGACAGGAGCACACGTGACGCGAGGAGAGGCCTATGGAGGGGACCCGGGGCCCGCTTGGCTCGGCTCCGGGTGGCTCCGCCCGCCTAGAGTGCGGGGCACTGGCCGCCAGGTGAGCCAGCATCTTCGGGCCCCAGCCAGCACGTCCTCCTGGTCGTGCCTATTCTCCCGCGTCCGCCAGAGGTCGCTGGGCGCGAGACCTTAGAGCAGCTGGGCCGGGTTCCCCGTCACGTGACGCCCCGCAGTCCTCCTGGCTCTGGGCGGCGGAGGTGGGGTGCAGGCTGGGAAGGCCCGGGTTTCGGGGTCGGGGCGGTGGGCCCGAACTAGCGGAGGCTGGGGCTACGAGCTCAGGGCTGTGGCGGCCAGACCAGGCTCCACGCGATTGTCCAGGGTCAGGAGTCAGAGCTGCAGGTGCAGGGCAGGGCGGGCCAGGTRGCGCATTACTAGCGCCTTTCGCGTTGCATTCTTGGGATTGCCTAGCTGCGCTCTAGAGGTTTGCATCCGCCCAGTGAGGAAACTCAGGGCGAAAAGTGGGAGGAGCTTCCATCTACAGGACCAGGCCACCTGCACCCCTCCCCACTGCACTTCTCCGCGACGCCGCAGGCGCTTCCCTGAAGGAGGAGCCCCGCGCTCAGAGGAGGAGCCAGGGCAGCCCCCGGGAGCCAGAACACCATTCTCCAGGATAAGAGACAGATTCTGACAGGCACCCCGCCACGGGCAGGAGGTTCGGGGCACAGCCTCATGGAAGAGAAGCAAATTCTATGCGTGGGGCTGGTGGTGCTGGACATCATCAATGTGGTGGACAAGTACCCGGAGGAGGACACGGAYAGCAGGTAGGGGCGCCCAGGCCCCTCGGAGACCCCACGGGCTGTTGGATCTGCAACAGCGCCCGGCGCCAGTGTTCCAGGGTGCTGAGCCAGGGACCCCACAATGAGGCGGTGAGGGTCCAACCTCAAAAGCCCTCTGCCAGGGAAGCCTGGGAGCTCTCAGGAGAGAGGAGAGAATGGAGGACTTTCAAGATAAGACTCAGGCTTTGTATAACAGTTTGTAGCCTGTTCCCATCTCAACTGTGGGACTGTGCCCAGCACCAGGATCCCCATTTTACAAGCCAGTAGAGACTGAGGGATGAAGTGATTCGCCCAAGGGGGTGCAGTTAGGAAGACGCAGAAGGTGTGGAGCCAGTTTTCCTTTTTTTAAAACTCCAAACCTATGCACTTGCCTCTCACCGAATTTACCTCTAATTTATTTGCCACACACATATCTCAACTATTTCTTAAAAATATGAGGTCGCTTGCAGTGAAAGGTATGTGCAGTTAGATTGGCATTTGAGCTTTGACTACAGCTCAGGGCTCACTAGCTCTGTGGCATCAGGGTCAGGGGAAGCTTTTTTCTAATGTTAAATCCAAAAGGAATCTACCAGAGGCCTTTTTACAAAGACAGGTGAACAACAGTGGAAGCTGAAGTTGAAAAGTTATTGGACAGTTCTTATCTTTACTTTTTATTTTATTTGTAGTATTTTTAGTCATAGATGGACACAATACCTTTATTTTATTTCTTTGCTTTTTAAATCTGGTGCTGAGCTTCAGAACGCACTGCCTCACATGTGCTAGGCAAGCGCTCTACCATTGAGCTACAACTCCAGCCCTTATCTTTACTCTTGATAAGGGCCACCCAGTGTCAAGCCACTGAGGTGTTTCTGAGGGATGGAACACTGGCTTTCTCTTGGTGCAGCCTACTAGTCCAAGCAATGAGAATTGCTCCTTAGCTATTGGTTGTCTCACCCAAGAACTCGATGAAATGCAGTTCAGGGCTGAACTCTGGCAAGATGCTACAGCATGGACAGCTATAAGGCTGGCCGAAGCAGGAGACCAGGTTGCCCTTCTGGCTTTGAGTCCACAGAGCACTGTCACATTCACTGTTTCATACCTTCCCTGGGACCTGTGTAAGCACCAGTCAAATCCTTCTTATATATGAGGAAACTGAAGATCTGGAGAAATTCAATGATTTTTATCAGGCCCCATATTTAGTAAGTAGCAGAGCAGCGATTACAATTTATGTCTCCTACCTCCAAGTCTAGCGCTGCGGTCCTCTGCCATCTCCTGTCTTTCCTGTCCTTTTGCTGCCTCTCATCTCATGGAGTTAACCCTCTGCTTTGGGCTGCTTTGTTTGTCAGAGGTTTAGAACCCCTTGTCAGGGTGCAGAGACAGTGGGGAAGGGGCACTAGATATGCTGCTATGTAGACCTAACTCACCTACCAAAGTAGAACCCGCCCCAGGACCTGGTGCTCAGTGAGGAGTTAGCCTTCCTCTCAGGAGAACATGCAAATTCCAGCACTGTAGTTTCTCCAAGGATTGTGCAAGGACCAAGGAAGACTTGAATTGTTGTTCTCTTTAAACTTGATGCTGTAGGAGGCCAGGAGAAGGAGGGCCTGCTAGCTCCCATGTTGATGAGGCAGCTTCAGAAATTGGATCCTATGGGAAGTACCTCTGTAAGAGACCTTCCCTTGTTTTCTCAGCTTCTTGCCCTCTGGTGTGCTGCCTGCCTCCCCCACCTCATGGCACTGTTTCTCTATAGCCCGGCTCCTGGACTCTGCTGGGCCCCTCAGAAGAGCAAGCCTGAGTTGGACCCATTCCTTCGTGGTCATCTGAGCTCTGCCTGTCCCAGGAACTCTGAGGTTATGGAGCTCAGCCAGACCTGTGAAGAGTGGCCCCTACCTCCCAAGGCCTATGTCAAGGAGAACCTTCCCCAAAGTGTCTTTATGTCTGCTGAGCAGCTCCACACAAGAGTATCAGTGAGACATCRAAGGGTTGTTCAGGGTGATATCCTGCAACCCTTCTTAGAAACCTCATTGATTCTTGGGCTTAATTGATTTTTGTTTCAAAATACAGGATACATAGTAGTGGCTTTGGAGTTGGGAAACCTGGGTTCTAATATCAACTTTACCATTAACTATTCGTATGATCTTTAGCAAGTCCCATTTCCTCTAGGCTCCTCCTTTCTTTGCTTGAAAATTTCCCTAAAGCACATGGCTTGATGACTCTTTGACCCTTTACAAATTTGCATCCTCTTTTCCTCATGAGATCATATTCCCCTGAAGGGAACTTCAAAGTTTTGTGTACAAGTATACCTGAGTCCAAAGATTCGATTTCACTTATTTCTCTTAATTAGTGGTTATTTATCATTTTTGTTGTTGTTGATAATGGAAATTCTTCAGGTATATCTTTTAAAAAAATTTTTTTTAGTTGTAGATTGTCACAATACCTTTATTATCGTTATTTATTTTTCTGTGGTGCTGAGGATCAAACCCAGTGCCTCATACCTGCTGGGCAAGCACTCTACCACTGAGCCACAACTCCAGCTCCTTCAGGTGTATATTGTTACTTTCCTTTTGATAGATTTTCAGTACAGATGGAGAAAAACCGGTCTGCACTCAAATTTTTTGAACTTTTGACATAGTAGGTCACCTATTTTTGTTTTGTGGTGCTGGGGATGGAACCAGGGCCTCATTCATGCCAGGGCAAGCCATATCCCCAGCCCTTACAAACTTCTTAAGGAATCACAACATGGGGTTTGCTTTCCTTTCTTGCTCATTTCATTTTGTAAGGTGTTTTATTGTTGAAGTTGACTCTCCTGAGACAGGAGTAGATTGCACATGTGATCCCTTTGAGAGGAGGCCTTAGGAGTTGATCTGGCCATCAAGGGGGAAGCTGAAAGGATGGCCTCTTGGGAGCAACTCTGACTGGAGGAAAGGGGTCATTGTGACCAAAAAGCGGACCCAGAGTTAGTGATGGAGCCCAGTGAGTGCTTTCCTGCCCTAAGATCAGGTAAAAACATAAAAAGTAAATGTTTTGAGCTTGAATGTAACGCACTCTTCAGGGACAGAACTGGCCCACAGCTAAGCCCCTTCCCCTGGCTGAGCCTCAGCTGCCTAGGTGCTCTCTGAGGGACAGTCGTTGGCCTTGCTTCTCCCAGGACCAGTTTACTGGTGCTGCAGGGAGGGACCTGCCTTGTGCCTTCCAGGTGTCTCTCCCAGAGATGGCAACGTGGAGGCAACGCGTCCAACTCCTGCACCGTCCTGTCCCTGCTCGGAGCCCCCTGTGCCTTCATGGGCTCGCTGGCCTCTGGCCCTGTTGCCGAGTGAGTGCAGGAGGGAGCCCTTGCTGGGGGACACTTGCCTTCAGGGTGTGGAGAGAAGGGTGTCTGAGCCCTGGGTGGGTGGGGTAGAAGAAATGAATAGTGGCCACCAGAAATGAGTGGGAGTGGGTACAGCGGAGTCCAGACTCTGAGACCTGTCTGAGGTGGCCTGTCCACCATTCGGGTATTAACGCTGTTCCTACAAAGATTTCTTTTCCACAGCTCACAGCAAAGCCGACCTTGGTTTCCCCACCTTTTGCTTCCTTCCTTGCTTCCTACAGATTGTGATGGATTCCCTTTGCCCTTCTCCAGACCTTTATCTTGGCTGTGCTTAAGGGAGAAGGCAGTTAGGGACATACTGTCCCCACCCTCCTCAGGAACATCCAGCACCCATGATCCCAGGGCCCAGGCCTACAATTTATATCCCCATTGAAGGGCAGGGCCAATGTTCATGTCCTTGTTATTCACTGAAGTAGCAAGAGTGCCCAGCTGGGGACATCTCAAAGCCACATGCTAGAGGTAGCCTATAATCCACACGTCCCAGCCTGCGGTGGAGGCTGCGGTCCATAAGTGGCCCACGCGCTTTCTCCGTGTTGACTGCTGCAAGGACCCAAAAGCCCTTTGACCTCTGGCACTGCCGACTCAGCAAGCACATATCAGGAATGAGGCCCACTGTGGGCATCAGGGCAGACTGCCAGGTTGCTGTCCTGTGAAGCACAGCCCTTTGAACCCTGGTTTGAAGGGGCTGTTGCCAGAGGCCAACTTCCTGAGTCACAGCCAAACTCTCTGCCTCAAGGAGCTGGCATAAAGCAAGGAGGGGGAGA